GTCATTAGCACCTCTAGTAATATATTTACTGAGAAAAACGGTGACGTGTTCAATACTTATTTTACCCACTGTATTGTATATTTACTGGAAAAAAATGAAACATTAAACATTTTCACCAAAACAGGCTTTTTTTTCTGTTATGAACACCTCTGAAGATGCTAATAATGRAAGACTTCATTAGGTTTTTAGTCCTGGTTTTATTCACTGCTTTAATGAACAGATTAAATCAATAATTTAGGTCTTCATCAGCAGACGCCATAGGAATAAGTGTAAATACGAGTCAGAGGAGGTAGGAAGGTTTACACAGTGTTTAATAAAGTTCCAAAACTGAGCTAAATATCCCCCCACTTCGATCCTCCCTGCAGCCATCCTCATCGCCCACCTGAAGCTGTCCCCCGACAAGCTGCGGCAGGTCCTGATGAACCTGAGCACGGACAGACTGGAGCCGGCGCACATCAAGCAGCTGCTGCTCTACGCCCCCGACGACGACGAGGTCAAACAGTACAAGCACTTCGACCAGGACCCCACCAAACTCAGCGAGCCCGACCAGTTCATCTTTCAGGTATCGTCAGTAACCGTTCACGTTCCTCGTCTCCTTGCTGCGGCTGACCGCTAACAAACAATAACTGAGCTTTGTGTGGTATTTCCTGCATGGAGACGGCGTTTTAACATGTCCTGTTATAAACTCTGAGAAGTATGTGTATGACTGATTAAATAAACACAGAAATACTGTTAAACGTAAAAGTAAGAGTTTTACTGTTGAGTTGTGGTGAGTAGCTGCCATCTAAAATTTTAACTGGGGTAGTCAGAGTTCCTCCCACTGTCTGACAGGGAATTCCCACTGGAGGGGCATTCCAGTTTAAATTTACAACTTGTAAGTGGGAAATTCCCTGTTTCCAGTACAACTGGGCAGCAGTAAAAGTAGCCGGCGAAAATGCAGCTAACTAGATTTTACACAGCAAAGTTTACCAGCTGCTGGCTACATTTGTACCCTGTACACCTCCACCTAGTGGTGGCATGTAGTCATTTTGCAGGTAAAATAATMAATGCAGTGCATTGTGGGTGATGTAGTTTATGGTCAGTGCTGGSTTTAAAGCAGCATACACTTACTTTCTAACATTAGCTCATTAACAGTTGGCCTGAAATTCCTTAAAAGCCTTTTTGACATTTTTTATTTTATTTAAAGTGCCTGTGACGTGCATGTTCTTCTACAAAATGTCAAAGAAAACATCTTTATATTTAAGAAAGTTGGAATAATACACACGATTTTACCCATTTGGCCCATAACTGTTATAATTTCTTTTGAACTTGGCTCAGCCAAAGTGAAACAGGAAGTGACATCAAAGGGCAACTCTTAAACAAAGAAAACTCTCTGGTCTTTGTTTTTTGAAACAATATTATTTGAACTCTGACTCTCATTCATCTCTCTGATAGTGACTCAAAATAATCTAAGAAACATCAGATTCTTCTCTACAGTCTGGGTTGTTGGCTGTTGTTGTAGCAACGCTCTGTTCACATGCAGACATTCCCCTTTGACATCACTTCCTGTTACTTCACATGTAAATATCTCAACAACTGTTCATCTCAGCGACATGAAATTTATTTTGCAATATTTTATCAATGTCCTCTTAATAAAAACGCATTCATATTTAATAYAAAAMTTTGACGTCACAGGCACTTTAATGTGTCTTGCTAAATGTAAGAACCAGAGGAAGCCATCTGACACCCTGAAAACATTGAAATGGTCTAAAATTATAAAGCACTTTATCAAGCACAGTCGGACCCCCAAAGCACTTTATAGTTAGAGACATTCACCCAGTCACACATACATTCAAACTGATGGTGGTAAGCTACATTGTAGCCACAGCTGCCTTGGGGCACACTGACAGAGGCAGGGCTGCCATGGACCCTCTGACCACCATCAGTAGACGAGGCAGGTWAAGTGTATTGCCCAAGAACACGACGACTGAGACGGCTGGAATGATCAAACCGTCAACCCTCCGGTTGCAGAACAACTCTCCTAACCACTCAGATGCTTTTGCCCACCGGTGGAACACAGGCTGTATATCTTTGAAGCTCTCGCGGGCCACATAAAAGGCTGTGGCGGGCCACATTTAGCCCACGGGCCTTGTATTTAACACGTGGCCTACCAACTTTCTGTGTCTCAGATGCTGACGGTGCCCGAGTATAAGACCCGTCTGCGAAGCCTCCTCTTTAAGACGACCCTGCAGGAGCGGACGGAGGAGATGAAGGTGGCGTTCGATTACATCTACAAGGCATCAGTGGAGCTGAGGAGCAGCAGGAAGCTTGCCAAGATCCTGGAGGTGAGATTCTCCTGCAGCTGTCTGAAATGTGAAGCTGTCCGTTTGTGTTCTGTTGATATAATGTTGATTCTTTGGCCGGCAGTTTGTTCTGGCGATGGGTAACTATCTGAACAACGGGCAGCCAAAGAGCCACAGGACAACCAGCTTTAAGATCAACTTCCTGACCGAGGTACAGCTCAGACCTGCTCAGTTTGATCCAGGTTTTCCTCATTTTTAKCGTTTAGTCATTCAGCTCTGTCTCTGACACCTCCCAGCTAAGCACAACAAAAACCGTGGATGGAAAATCCACCTTTCTCCACATTCTGGCCAAGTCTTTGTGCCAACATTTCCCCGAGCTGCTGACGTTTCCCAGAGATCTCCTGACGGTGCCCCTGGCGTCAAAAGGTACGATTAGTAACAGGAAACGGGCCCACTGACCCAGCTTTATAAGCGCAGAGCCGACAGGTGGTAACTGGCTGTTGTTTCCATGCTAAGTGAACCAGAGGGCCATCACGACGGAGCTGAGCGACCTGCACTCCACCATACAGGACATCAGGACGGCCTGTCAGAAGATTCCCGCCACCCCCGAGGACCACTTCACCCCTGTCATGAGCGTACGTCACAAACACAACAATCAGRTCCTACAGGCTGACATATCAAACTTCACTTTACCACTCAGTCAATATGGAGGAACATTATGTTTAGTATAGCTTGTAAAAACAAACAGATGACATCGTTCACTGGTTTGTGAACCARCTAAAAAGATGTTGAATCTGTTCTGACTGCTCAGGAGAGGCCTGTTAAAACACAGAAACCTGCCAGTTTGTCTTCACCTTATTTACTGTGGTGTCAGTGAGAACCAGGAAATGGATACAGAATTAGACTTGAACGTTAAATGCACAAAATAAAGCCATACAATACCAAAATACAGACCGCTTTATTCAGTCGTGGTTTTGGCAAAGAACCAGGAAGCCAGACCGTATTTAAACACCTTCTTCCAGATCTGGCCACTCCCCAGGGGCAGGTTGTCACAAAATCTCCAGGGTTTATGCTGGGAATTTGAAAATCAAAATTTTAGGCCTAAAAAAAGTCAAAAACG